TTGTAAGATTTTTGCAACGTAATAGGATTGTGTCATTATCGAAATCGATTGCTACGTTTCTTTTACGTTGTAATAACGTACGTTACAAATAAAACATTTTTCTAGAACGTCCTTGAGGGAGGACATTTACTGTTATCGAGATGTTAGTATGTCGTTTCGACAACGTAATGGTCAAAATGTTTTTGTGGGATATTACACACACACACCCACACACACACACACACTGCACATATTTGTATGTGGCGATAGAAATTATATTTATATATTTATGTAAAATTGTAAAAAAATCTATAAATATGTTAACACTTTTAATCACTAAAAATATTTTCACGTATAATACTGCCAATATAATTCGCAATAACATATTTAAAAAACGCGTTATAATTAATAATCTCTTTTAATTAAATTAATCAATTGATGCAAAAATATTTATTTTTCGGGAGACAGTTATATCAATTTTAAATTTCATAATTTCATATATACAATATATAATATTGAAATTTCTAACAAAATAGATAATACATATATCAATCGAATTTTTTAACTCTATAAGTGATTTTTTGTTTCATTTATTTATTAAGTATTATGCACGTAAAATAGAGTAAAAAATCATCAATATGATTTGAAGAAAACCGAATTAATAAATTTAGTTTATGAAATTGATTATAGTAAAAGAGGTGACTAAACCACTGCTTAATACATGCCACATCTAACAGATGTCACTTGCTGTCGATTTATTCCACGTAACATTTTATATTTTATACAATAATTATTTTATCTATTTTATGAAATAATGAATGCTTTCTTCATTTTTAAACATACATTTTTATGCAAAATATTTCTGTATATAGAACAATAATATGTTACATAATTGCGACGATAGAAATTACTGTCAGTGTGGCAGTACAATTTTTTATTATTTAGTCTTTATAATATTATTTAGAAGCCTTAAAAGAATTGCTTTTAACTTAAGATAATGATTAATACATCGATTTATCACATAATATTCGTAGCGATAATACAATAATACGTAAAGAAAAGACAAAGCAGGCGTCAGTGCGTTGAATCATTGTACATATTTTGCGCGGGATATAGGCGCGATGTTGAATTTGCTTTGCATTACAAGCGAGGCTCGGTATTGGTTACTCGGCTGACAAAATGGAGCATGCAAAGTATGTTTGTCAATGCTGTTTAGGTATCGGAACGTAATCGAACCGGAGAACCTCGGGGGTCTCTCAGACATAACATCTCGCGCCACCGAGCGTCCTTTGTTAAAGTCTTCTCCTTACATCTCGGTTTTCGCACTTTTCTTGCTTCCGTTACCCGACAAAAACTCGATGCCTGCGGGTCTCTAAAGTTTATTGACTTTCGCAATGACCTGCTTTGGAAATGATAACTCGACGGTAGAATTGCGCGTTAATACTGAGGTCTCACAATCCACTCAAAGTGTATACATTTTTATTTGGCTATAAATGTAATTTCTTCTCGGCGATGAGTGAAATTAGTAAAATTAGGGAAGAATTATATGGCATTAATGTCTGTCCTGATCCTGGCTACAATAGCTTGTATCATCCTCCAATCCCTTTAATTAAATATTGCTACTCTCTAAATTTTCTGGAGTGAATCTCACTCCAAAAGAGCGAAAATACTGTCACTCAACCACTTGAGTGGCAGTATTTTCACTCCTTAGAGTGAAATTTCACTCCAAAAAATTTAGAGAGTACATATTATCCGCAACTTCATTAATAAATTGCAGTATATCATTCTAAACCGCTAGAAGTTAACATTCGAGAACAGTCTCTCTCTCTCTCTCTCTTCTTTCTCCATAATGAATCCGTTTATCGTTTCATCTGCATGAACGTTGGCATTACGTGGCTGGAAGATACAGAGGCGAGTGACCAGGGTGGATAGAGGGGGAAGGAGTGGGTGATGGGGATTAGCGGGAGGGGTTGACTTCGTGTTGAACCTTCGTAGCCGACCTGCTGGTCGCGGCGATGGTCATTTGTGGGAGCTGAGCCGACTTCTGCGGCGGGGGAGAAGAGCGAGAGGGGACGAAATGTCTCTTGCGATCCCACGACGAGATACCGGACACGCTACAGCCCCTCCTAACCCCCGAGTGATGTCCACTGCGACACGCCATCCCCGCCGGACGACGCCGAGATTGTCTTCGAGGGGGGTGCGCACAAAAGAACGTATGCGGGTACACGAGGTACTTTTACCACGGCCGCGGAAAGAATTGCCTTGACACGCAAGAACCCGGCTGTCCCTCACGAAGAGGAATATTGGCAAACCGCTCGTAAATAACCTCGCGTTTAACATCATTATTTATGGCATCGCGTACGCGATTTACAAAACAAACGGACTGACAAATTAACGTTAGGCCGACCTGAATACGATTTGCAATGTTAATGCGAATCGTTATTAACTGGTTTTAACCCGTTGTTAATTGGAACTACATCGTGGTCTTCATTCTAGGAAATAACGGAAGTATTTATTTCTGTAAGATATTAATTTTGAAATCTAATATTCTGTATACTTGATTGTTATATATATTTTGAAAAAAAAATTAAAATTACACATACATATTAAATATACATTATTACGCAATCAAATCTTCATAAATCATACATTCCATTATACGTGTATATTTAATTCTATCACGTTTGGTACTTTTCTGCAAAGTAAACAATTACATTAATTGTCAGAAGTTTTTTACTTTGGATTTTCGAATAGACTATTGAAAATTATTCCGTCAAATACTATTTAATGATTTTATATTTAAAAAATCTATCATTTTAAAACTTCCTACAAATAACACATTTTTATGATACTTCTACTTTGTCTCTTGTATATTTAATTTCTCTCTAAAATATTTTTGCGGCGGAGTAGGTGACGTCTTAAGGAAGTGAAATGCAAGCAGAATGCGCGAGGTTGTTTTCCACCCCTGATGGTTACGCGCTGACGCGTCATGTCTTGTCGAAGGTTCATACAGGCGTGTGCGTTACGCGTGACTATACGCGCGACGGACACGCGACTTCTTCCTGTCTCACATCGTATGTCTACCTTACGCCTTCCTTCCGCCTTTTTGCCCACCTACCATCAGGCTTAGTTAATGTATTCGCTTTTCCTAGCCTTCGCGATATGGAGAAACTTACGTTTTACCATAATTTCCGGTATAATAATGTATTTATCTATAAGAAAAATTATAACAAGACAACAGTAGTTTCATTAAAAAATTTAGTATTTTATGATAAAAAATAGACGTATATTTGACAAAAATGAAACAATAATACAAAAAGTATTTAGCAATATAAATGTAATATTTAAAAAATCTTCAGAAGCGTGTGACTGATCTTTTATAAAACTGTCTTAACGTCAATTTTTTACACAGATCGTACACGTTGACGATAATAACTTATCAACGATAATGGCTTATAAATGAAAAAGATATATACGTTAAAAGAATGAGATTTTTTTTTCAGAAATGTCATTGGATTGAATCCGTAATGTTTCACGTTCAGACATATCGCTACTGCTACATAATCATATAAAGAGCAGGAAGACCATATACCGGTCACTCGCAAGCAGTATGATAAGCGGTGCACATACTTGCCGTGAGTACCCGTGGTACTCACGCGGGTATCGTGTAGGGCACACTCTGGTATCAACACCGTGAGACACGGCAACGCAGCTACTGGACATGCCACCGAGATCACCGGCCCGATATCGCCCGCTCGTATTTATGGCCGCCAAGATTTCGCATTATTAGAGCCATTTACCGTTTTCGCCCTATAATATCGCGGCGTATGCCCGCGCCGAGATTGCCGAGAGGCGCCTCGAATCGTGAATCGTGAATTTAAGGGTCGATAGAGGCCGAAGGTAATTTCGGAAGACTTAGAGCCTATCAGATATAAGTTACGTCTTAAGCCCAAGTACTTTCGACCACGACAGAGTGTAAAAGTACGGAGAAATTATTTTGTACGTGGCCGGCATATTTAAGTGGATAACATCATCGTTTTAGCCAAAAGCATTCGTAATAAGTAAACGTAATTTTGTAAATTTCGAGTATATGTGTAGTATTTAATTTGTTTTCTGGGATGACAGTGGTTATAGTTTCATTAATTTAGTTTTTCGTTTCAACTTTCTGTTTATTATTAATTTAAATTAATTTTTATGCAAGTTATTTTTTATTTGATAGAATAGAGACGTTGTAGAAATGAGACGATTAGCGTAAATTTTTTTCTGTCTGTAATACGAAAAAGTAAAATTAAACGATTCGAGATCAAAACTAATTATATTTGATAATCGTTGGTAATGAACATGTAATTATAATGTCCATATTTACCGTACGGCAGATAAAATTAGTGGTAGAGACAACATTGGCTGATGGTGTACTATCATTACGTATAATTATGTCGTAAATTATGAGTTCGGTAAGTTTATATTAGGGCGTTCTTACACGTGCCACGGAGAGGAGGCTCATCAGCTTTTGTACGCGAAACGATGACACTTATTCAAACACATTACCAAATAACGACCAACCAACGGTACGTCCGACCATGACGATAAAATAAGAAATCAAATAAGGGTGGTATCCGTTTATACGACAAATTGCACTATCACGTGTCTTCGCATTAAGCACAATTTTCGAAACTTATAGAAGGCACGAAGATTAATGAACGATTACTGAACTTGACAGTTTCTTGTCGCTTAGAATAAGTAATAATTCTAAAATTTAAATTAGCAAACTTTATAATTTTTGTAAGATAATCTTGTTCAATATGATTATTTAAAGTTAATGAATATTTAAGTGTATTCGAAACATCCTGCGTATTTAATATATTTTCGATCTACATTCGTAAATACAAAATTTTCCGTTATCAATCGGATCATTTCACACACGACACATTTACGACGTAAAGCGAACTTTTCGACAAGACTACCTCCTAATGAATGGAAGTTCGGCGACAGTCGCAACGATAGGAGGCTCGGATACTGACAGGAGACCCCGAGAAACCATCCATTCCTGCATTAAACCGCGTTATCGCCAGCGTTAACATTCGTCTTCCAGGATGCATTGTCCTGCGATCCAGCTGGGGCAAGGTCCTCATCCGTCTCCCATTCAGGGTCGTGGGTCTCGACATTTCCGAATCTCCGAGGCGGTCCATTGTGCTCGGCCCTCGCGTTGCTCTCCAGCCCTTTCCTTCTCTCCTCCCGTTCCCCTGTGCTGTGTTGCCCTACCTCCTCTCGTCCTCGTTTCTCCTCCTGTCTCGCTTTAACTCGCTCGACTCTTTATACCCGCTGCTCCGTCTCCCCGGTCGTCCTCTTTTCCCGTGCTCGGAGTCCTCTCTCGTCCAGAGGTAATACGGGTGCCTCGAGAAGCACCGAAGGGGTGGATCGAGGGGGGGTACGCTCAGTAGATGGGGTTTTTAGGGGTGGCGACATAGAATCCGGGAATTCGTGTCTCGCGGGGTAGTCTCGGCAGGAGCTCTATCGATTCTCAACCAGACACACCATCCTCCGAGCATATCTCGCGCGGTATCCCGATGTATAATTCGTCTGCGTAAAAGCTCCGTTGTTCCAAACGGTAAACAAAGAGTTTCTAGTTTAAACAAAACTATAGAATAATTGTGTACATGAATAGAATTGTAGCAAACAATGATGATGAAGACTTTAATTTATAAAACGTGCAATAGATAATTTTGTATAGATAAATGCCTTTGCTTTTGTAAGTTTCTTATAAACTTTCGGATTGTTGTTTACAATACCGCAAATTTTTTAATATGATATTGTCATGCGAAAAAGATGTTTCGTATAATACAGAAAAGCTGTTATATAAAAAATTCAGCGTTTATATTTGAAAAAGCTACGTATAGTACTATTAAAATGCAACGTATATCTATGATGAAATGAGTAAAAGAGAAAAGTGGCTATAGAAATAAAATTATTCACGTTTCCGTGAAGAAGAAATGAAACTAATCGATAACCAATAAATTTCTTTCTGTGAGAAATACTTAAATACTGTAAAGTTGATACAAATCCCTATATTTAGATCATTCGTTATTATTAATTCGTTAATTTTTTTGTTAAAAATATTTCATGTAAGATATGATAAAGGTAAATTATGTATTACATTACGTTGTTAAAAATTAATTAATATAATATTTAACAGTTTTTCAATTTCTGCATACGTGCTATCAACAATTACGCGCGTGAGAGGTTTAAAATTTCTATAGTTACATTGTAACGTGTATAATAAGTTTGCAATGTACCTATACATGTTGCTATTGAGAAACTTAAAACATTATGATGTATTAGTTGTATTTCTTTCGTATTATTTATCATCAATGCAATTTTAAATATCTATCTTTCAGCGTTTGCCTGTAACAAAGGGACGTCGATTGGGGATTGTAGAAGCAGATTGTGGGAAACGACGACGTGAGTATCGAGAGTAGGGAAAGAAAGGTAAGGGAGGACCACAATATCACAGCGATAAATCCATCGGGAGTTGATCAGCCGACACTCTGCACCCAGTGCACGTACTCATGGCATATCCACTTGGCGTGACCAGGAAGGGACGCCATCTTGAGGGTTTCCTCGCTCCACCTGCGAGGGTGATTCTTTATTGTTTCAATAAGCACGGCACAGGTCCAGTCTTATTAGCGAAATAAACCTCTTTTAACGGCGCTGCCGCGCTCCGCTCTTCCTCTTCTCCTCCTCCTCCTGCTACTTCTTTTTCTTCTCGCTTCTTCCTGCTCTTTATACCGCTCGCGAAAGACGCACGGGAGTCAAGTAAGCCTGTGGGAGAGGAAAAAGCTTCTCCTTGGCGAAGACGAGAAAGATTTGGCGAGGATAAGAGAGGAGCGGAAAGGGACCGAGGGATTCTTGAAAGAGTTCTCTTTCAGAGGAGTCCAAAGAGAGAATCGATAGGTTTTTCTGCGGGTTTCCATGGAGACCGCGAGGCGAATCGGACTGTACACGCGATAAGCGACGAAGACGTGGAAAGAGCATCGCCGCAGTGGCGTAAGCGCCATCCCCTTTTTCGTTTCCCGCTGCCTTTTCCTGTCGACGAGATTACATAAGTTCCCTCCTGCACCGTGCGCGCACAATAAGACCGTTTCGCGTCACAAACGTAATGCTACGAATGAATGAATAAATGTAACTCAACGTAGAAATACCATCGACGACATTTTCCATGAAACCATCTTTAATTTAAGTATATCTTTGTCTACTATATCTGCATCATAGAAAACATTTATTTAATTCTAACTCTTGTTGTCAAAATTGTTGACGGTTTCTACTCTGTCGAGAATCTTCAAATATTCTCGTGAATACAACAAAAAATTTTTTTTGTATAATTTGTTAAATATATTTAATAAATTTTCACGTTGATCCTAATAAACGTCAGCGAAAAAATATTTTCAAAAAATAGAAAATGGCGGCTATCATCGCCTTCAAAGAAATTTTGCAGCTGGAGAGGAATCAGTTAAAGGGTCCACCTGTCAGATCCCTCCCACTGAATCTTTCTTCTTGACTTTTTTTCTCTTTTTATAACGAGTATGCGGATCCTTGGCGCCGAACGACGTCGTCCGGTTCTTTTAACTGCCCTTACTTGCCGCGATCGCCATTAAGTTGAGAGTACGATCGTGTTGTGGAGGCATCGCCAGGTCGGCCATTTTGCTAAGATCGTTTCTCATCTTTTACGATGTTCGACACCGCCGCGGCCGCTTGGCCGTAGTCGTCGCCGCGTGTCGTTTCAGCCCCGCGAGAAACAATTGAATGTCCCCGGGTTTATTTTCGGAAGCCTTAATTTAATTTTCGTCCCGCTGCGGGAGCGCGGGAGAAAGATGAAGAAAGAGAAAGAGAGAAAAACCGCACAGGAAAGGAGAGCGAAGGAGAAATGGAAACGAGTGACCATAGTTCAGACGAATCTTTTGTTGCCTACCGCGTCTGTGCTACCAATGGTCTTTTTAAATCATGTTGACCTTCTTGAATAGAGGATGCTGATATCCATTAATGTAACTTATGTCCGATAAATTATGCAAATTATCCCTATTATAAAAAAGAAATATAGTTCACTTTGAAAGAAATATTAACTTTGTACAAGGCATACACGGAACGATTTAATTCCTAAGTACAAAAATGTAAACTTTCACATTTAACAAAAAACATTTGTACAAATAACTCTTTTTAATAATTACTCTTCTTAAATTATTAAATAATTTTCTGTTATAGATTGCAAGGGAAAAATAATATTATACAAGAGACATGTATTTCCCAAAGAAGATTTAAAAAAATTATTTCGAGGAATTATTTGAGGAAATGAAGTCCAAAGTGTGATGCAAATCTTAATTACTTAGCGAATTTTTATTAATTAATTGTATTGATTATTTAGATTGATTTTTTAGATTATGTGACTGAGGCATACATTTACTGAAAAATGTGGGTGGTCGCTTCGCTTGTGCCTTTCACGTGTCTCTTTCATTAATTCTCGGAAATATCACTTTGAGTGGTACCACAGCAAGTCGCGTATTCTCGACAGGTCGCAATATCTGATGACTCTGTTTCCTCTCTCGACGAAATTGCTAGCGGTTTTTAACGAGAACAACTTTCTTGCGAAAAAGAGTAATGGAGATACCTGAATTACAAATAATACGGTTTAACGTATATGCACCTCTAGACTTGAAAGAAAAAAATAAAATTATAATACATTGCATACATATCATAAGGTCTAAATAATATTCGAAATTAAATACATTAAATTTAAACTGATTTCAAAATCTAATCATTAATAGATAATTGATATACATATTAGTGATTTTGCATGTAAATAACTTAGTAACAATATATGATACATTATAATAACAGAGAGAGAATAATAGATTGCATTTCCGATCTTATTGATTAAGTAAATGTTGATAATATATAATTGAAGATATTTCTTCTTTTCGTTCTCCAATAATAGTAATACATAAAAGGTCTTCCACCTTTTTTAAATATATTTTTTTAAATTTTCTGTGCGCTATAGAATATTTGCGCAAAGCCTGCTGCTCCCAATCGCGTGTTGCTCTCCTCAACGTCTTTAACGACTCGGACTGAATGTTGAACCTGAGATCAAACGGCAGCGGGTAAAAGACGAAATTCGTCACGAGCGGAGTGTCGGCTTAGCAGCAGCGATAGACCGGAAAGGTACTTCGCAGGCAGTGTCTCGCAATACGGGTGTTTGTAGTAACGCGGCCCACCGCCCTCACACGTACCTGTCCGCGGCTGCATGTGTTGCGTTTTGCATGTGTACACATATAATGTGTAAGTTACGTATGTGCTCACACACAGCCGGTACGTGTTGGTACGCGGTAGCTTTGCCAGGAGTCAGTGACACCTCTCGCATCGTCGGTGGCGGCGACTGCGGTTTCTGGTAGCCATGGTAACCACCTCCCTCTGCCTCCACGTCCTCCTCCACCATCTCCTGCTCCTCCTCTGCCTCCTGAGGGGACTCTGCTACCTCTGTTCCTCATCAGACACTCCCCCGTTCTCTTCGCCAGCGTCTCTCTACGATCCTCTCTCCTCCGTCTCCTTTTCCAATTATCGTACCATCTCGCTCGGTCGCACCCGTAGATGTCACCTCGCATCTCCTCCTGCTCCTCCGTCCGCTCCATCCTCTCCTTCTCCTTCGCATTGGCTTTGAGTTCCTTCGCAGAGAAGGACTGACTCGAACGAGAGAAACGAGAAAGGAGAAGGAGGACCGAGAAGTGGCCACTGTTGCCAAGCCTGTCTCCCATTTTCTCTCTCTCTCTTTCTCTTCTACTCTCCCTTTATCACTCTTTCCCTCCCTCTTTGTTTCTCTCTCTCTCTCTCTCTCTCTCTCTCTCTCTCGTCAATGTTCCGCGTTGGATATACGCGCAAGCTGCGCTGCCAATGCCGTTGACGTTGGTGAAGTCGACGGTGTGTATGAATAGATGCAGCACCATGTTACTGCCGCTGCAACGACCACTCTGCCGATGCAGTCGCCGTCGTTTCTCTTTTATCCTCTTCCTCGTCGACTCTCTCCGTGTAATATCGCTCTCCTTCTTGTTCCCGATGTCTCTGCTGCCTTCCCGCTTCTCTCTTCTAGCGTGTCTGCCATAATGGCGTTAGACCGTCACGGCGCCCAGTTATAGCGCGATGTACG